TTAATCTAAGGGTTATATTTTAACCATCTCATCTCTCTATATATATATATATATATATAAAGAGAGAGAGATCTGTTTATTTTATAAATAAATCTACTTGGACTTATTTCGTTAAATAATTCATGTTGTACATCAAATCCTAATAATTAAACCGTTAAATTTAAAGTTTTTAATATATAGATTAAGTCTACAAATACAGTTATCACTTGTGCCAATCATATTAGTTAAATATATATATATATATATATATATATAAAGAGAGTTAAAAAAATATTTAAAAAGGTAGGAAAAAAAGGTTAAAAAATTAAAAAATATTTTTAATTAATTCTTTTTATTTTAATCAATTAAATCAAAAGTTGAAGGCTTAAAATGACACAGAATTGTTAAAACTTGCAGCTAAATTTTAGTTTACAAATACCACCAGTGAGGCTTTTAGTTCTGAAAGTTTTGAAATAGTCCGACCACCGCCAAGGGATAAACAAAATTAGTTTTAATCAATTACGAAAAAGTAGTAACCTATTAAAAGTTTCAATTGTTGAAACAGTACCTTTCAATAGCAAAATTTAATCGATTAAATAAAGATTTAATCGATTAAATTTTTCTTAGTATTTAGCTTCTATTTCCACAGTTTAGCACGAAAATAAAAAAGGTGATATCTCACCTCCTTTTTTTTTTTATCAACCTAACACCACTTATTTTCCCATCTTATTTCCAAGCTTTCTCATTTCTTACCAATTTATATGATACCAAACGTGGTCCACGTTTTCACGTCAATGAAAACTTCATGTCATCTTTATTTTCACACTCCGTCCTTAAACTTTTATGACGAGTGATGAAATGATGGGTGATGTAACGAGATTAGTAAACAACACCAACAAGAATTAGCTCTTTTTCAAGGACTTTAGGGAAAAGGTGTTAAAAAAATGTAAAATAATGACTGATATTTTTATGTGACACTGAATATGGTAGACACATAGGATAGAATAATCAATCCATGTTCTACTCAGTGTGGTAAAAGTGTTAGTGTTTACCAAATCGAAAGACGAGGGAAGTTTCTTGAAGCTTCAATTGAACAAAGACCATACTTTTCTTTTACTGTTTGCCAGTTTATCGTCCATTTTCAAGTCAAGTGAAATGCTACTAACACTTTGATATATGTTAAAAATAAAAAAAAAAATAAAAAAAAAGGAATCAAACCCACTAAATGCATAATATGAATAAGTAATATGTCGATACCCGCGTAAATTTAACCCAATAATCAATAATGTGTTAAAAGGAACCATTGAAAACATGCATAAGATACTAAATTAAATTCGAATCTTATCGTTGTAATTTTTACCGATAGAAAGTTTTAAAAGATGAAAAGTAACCAACTAGCATTCCATCAAGCTAAATATGAATTAAATCTACAGAAAACTATTAAGATCCCCGGGATAAGTTGTGAAATGCCTTCATCTACTTTGCTGGACTTAGTGTAAGGGCAGCCAAAACATTCGTAGCATGTCTGGAAACAGGGGTTTGTATACTCAAGTATGATTTTGGGTATTAATCATAATGTTTACAATTTTTTTTACCCTTTATGTACTTGTTCATCCAAATTTGATTTTACTAAAAAGTAAAATCTATTCAAACCTTATATAATCAATTCACACCAAACTTCTACCACAATCTATTTTCCAAGAGAAATGATATCAACAATGTCTCAAGTATTTTCTTACTTATACTATTTCTGCTATTAATTGAAAATTATAAATTTTGACGAATTCTATACTACTACATCAAGAGAAGCTCAGTAAATGAAATGTAAGTTACACAATTTTGTAATTTTCAATGAATTTCAGTCAATAATAGAAGTGTAAAAAAGTGTTAGTGTCACTAAAATTCCTCATTTTACAAAATCAAGCTCATTCAAAATCAAATGTGCAGCACTTAAACACACTTCTAGAAGCTCCATAGGATATTCGAAATTTTGGCATGTTTTGTTAGGCTAATGTTTCGAACAGGAGAGATTAGTAAAATGTGATTCTATCAGAAGCAACTATCATGTAGCATTGGGACTGTTGGATTCAGAATTTTACACCAAGTTTCACTACAAGCTTTCTTTCGAAATAAACGTTTTTAAACATAAATCACTTCAAACTCAATTTTGTAAAATCAATATCATCCAAAATCAAGATTTTGCAAACACTCACCCCCAACACATTTAATCAGCATGACTAACAAATTGAGTGCTTCTGCGGGAAATAGTAGGACACCAGACAACACCGGAGAAATCTAAGCAGATTAGAACTAAATCAAATATTCAACAACAGATGAGGGAAATCCTACAAGCTAACTGTCTCTAACAAAAATGGTTTTGTTGTTAATCCACCATATTCTAGGACATTTTAACTGCCCCTCGCCCAAAAAGAAAATCACGTGGTTACTCTTTTGAGCAGTTTATACATGCCAAAAACATTCTTCTCTTGCCAAAGGTAAGGAATGAAAAAAGACCTATACAATGCCGGTGAAAGCTCCCTGTCCAGATAAGGCAATGCAGCAATAGCCTGAAATACAAATAATATCCAAGCAATTAAAATTTAAAAGCAAATATTAGCATTAAATATAAGAAACTTCATGAATGACTTACCTCCCATTCTGACATGTTACTTCCACGAGTCAGGTAAGGCCGCTTTAGTTGCAGCTCGACAAGGAAAGTACAGGCATCAACATCATGGAGCTGATAGATCAATGTTGGTCACTTGTCAGAGTTGGCTTCTAACAAAAATTTATAAAGACCAAAAGAACTATCAATCTAGCACCTATATATGCAGTTAAAAAGGACATACGTATTGCTTGTCTGATGCTATGTTTTTGTTGTTAAAATATGGCGGTGCTGCTGCAGTCCCCCCTAGGGTAGAATTAAATGGGAGGGGAAGAAGGCCTCGGAATCCATCGTCAATCCATCGAACTTGTCCCACATAATCTGGGATGAAAAATGATGATGGAAAGCGATGCCATTCACTTCCAACACAGAGTATGGAATCTGCAATAAATAGTAACAAAATGATACATGATTCTGATGGTTTTATCTCAAAATACATAATAAACCAGGCCATTGAAACTGGATTCTGACTGCTGTCCTACTCACTCCCCATAAAATAAAGAGGGATATCATGTAAGTGCTATTTCAACAGACATTTGATACAGAAGCTTGCAATAAACAGTGAAATTTTAGTCTAGACTAGGAAGATATTGTTAAAACAACATTTCCTAGAGAGAGACATCAACAACAGAACCATACCATTAGAAAGGAAGTAAAGAAAGCTGTAGCAAAATTTTGCAAACAGAAAACTTCAGTTAAAGCACAAGAAATGAGTTATTTATAATCTTTGTTAATTACATCACTTCAGTTTCATGAACATACTTAATAGCTATTCAGTTTCCAGACATCAAACGAGTAAAATTATCACAAAGGAATATGCAAATTTAAGCAGCACAGCAGCCTTAGTTTCTTTAAGCACCCTACAGTTCCCTTTTTCAGTAAATCCTTCTATATTCCTTACAAATTGGAGGCTTCAGTATAACAAAATTGTCAGGAACCCAGAAATAGATTCTCAGTTTTCAGAGATAGAGGTTGAGAAAAACAGAGAAAGAAAAGGAGAGCTTTACGCCTTACGGTGTTTGTCAAATTTCAAACAAAGTATAACCAACGGAGAACATTCTCCTTTCAAGTGTTTCCCCTTTACAACTTATTTTTTTACCTTTCTACAATAGATCTAATACTCAGTTTCGAAACAGAATGCCCACTGTTCTTCCCCTGTATCCTAGCAAAGCTGATTCCCGATCCCTACAACTTTAACCACCTAACTATTTCAAATAATTAATAATTATCCTAACTAAATATTCTCTGCCTCTATCAAACATTCAAACATGACCTGATTACTCCATTCAATCACATTTAAAAAAATGGCTATCCATAAACTATAGAAACAAAGCGACAAAATGTTTGACTCACTGTTATCTGCGTGATGGTGTTCCAAAATCTTGTAAACCTCCAAGGGAGCTGAGTAACCATTAATCAGAGAAAACGTACGAGCATGAGAAGCATATAGTATAAGGCTAAGAGCCACTGGTCTCAAAACTTTGGCAATCTGCATTCAGCAAGTGTGAAATACAGAATGCGTTTATTGCTTCCATCTCAGATATATAAAGACCTATCAAATCTCAAGTAAATTGGTATCTTACTGTCACTATTATAGAAGGATCGTATGGATTATATTTGCTACGGAAAATATCAGGGAAGCTCTCAATGACAGCTGAAGCAGCAACACAAATAAGTGGATATATTGGATAAAGGAACCTGCGTGCACAGATGGAGAAAACCAATTCAGTTATCCATGTAAATGTAGCTGTAGATTTAATAATAACACAATCAAATACAAAAATCATAATTAATTCATCCCAAGAGCACAAATCTGAAGGAATAATACTAAATAATTACCATGTCCACTATTATTTATCTTCTGAAGCACATAATTATCTTATTAGTTATTACATAAATGTAAAGGATAACCAAATCATGATCATTACATCCAATTTACAGCATCTAGATTAGACTCATCAAAATGGAAAGTAAAACTCAACTCTCTACAGAAGTGAAGAACTGGGAGTGAAACTGTGAATTCCCCATATGAACAGCTAATCAGACAATACACACAGATAAGGGCTTGACTTCAGGAAACTTATTTTTAATTAATGATAGGCCTAGTAATATAATAATTAATCAAGATCTAAAAGACATGCTATCAATTGTGATACTAAATTGAAATTTTCTTATTGCAAATTTCTTCCCTTGGTTGCTGAATACGCAAAAGAATAGTTGCAATAGTGTAAATATCTATGAAGCCTAGATACTTAGTACGATAGGGATACGGAAATACGATTTTTTTTTTTGAAATTAAGGATACAATACATTATAGATACGTTAAAAAAATAGAAAATTTTATATAAATACAAAATATTGGTAAAAAAAAAAGAAGAGAGAAATGTGTCTTTGTAGAATATCTATATTAACTTTTAAAAGGTTTTTTCTGTTTAAAAATTTTAAAACTAAAAATAAAAAAATTTAAACTATTAATAAATCGAACATTTGGGTAAAAAATACATATCCAAGCCATATCACATGTTATAAAGCCGTATCTAGCCATTGTGAGCCATATCGGAGCTGTATCAGATCAGAACCGTATCCAATAATTTTTTAAAAATATAAAATAATTGGATACTCCTTGGATACGTATCCTGGCGTAGCCTAGCCGGTGTCTGATACGGATACAACACCAATACTTTTCCATTTTTTGAGTATCCGGGCTTCATAGGTAAATATTATGGAAATTGACCTCACTGCAACTTAAAATTGAGTGCCTCGTTTACTATAAACTAGTCCACCCAGTTAACAAGTTTCCATGTTCTTAACTAAAGGTGAGTGCACCAATTCACTGGCAATACCTGCTTTTCTAAATCTAAAAGGAACCATCTAAGATCCCACTTATAAAAATGAGCCTGTATTGGAGATTACCAAAAACAGAAGGTTGGCAGACTTGCATAAACAAAAGTGGATGGAATAAGAGATTGATATCCATTTTCTCATATCATTAAACATAATAATGTACATCGTGTGTGCATTGAGCAAGTGAATAGAAAGTATTTATCTCAAATAGCATCATATGATTAAATTTGTAACAGAAGACCAGGAAATTGTTTTGCCAAACCTTTCTTCTTTGTGTGGCTGCAAAGACATAAACCCCAGCCAAATATATATAGGAGATATCACAATCAGTAGGTCTGGTGCATATTTCTTCTTTGCAATAGGCAAAATTCCCAAGAACAGCATAGCAAGAACAAAACAAAAGTTGAAATTGTTAAATCCATTCCTCAGATAATAAAGAGGCCCTTCAGTCCCATATAGATGGCTTTCACCTCCTCCAGCTACATTGTATATTAAAAGATTCAACACAGATGAAGTCCATTTTCCATAATAGTAAAAGTCCGTAACTATTGACAGTGCCTGTAACAAATTCAAATATGCAGCCATCGTAAAGGATATGAAATTTAATAACATAATAGGATGCGAGCAAACCTATATATACAACATTAGATGGTATAGACATAACTTATAGGACGGACAAGGTCAATGTGAGAGGGAAAAAAGCCTGACTTACAAGAAGAATAACTGATGAGACAGCCCCGCCAATAAATGCCTGTTTGAATTTTCTAGATAGAGAATATAGTGTCACTGGAAGGAAAGCCAAGATTGAGAAAGGCCAGCCAAGTATTACACCAACAACAGCAACAGAAATTGCTGCAGCAGGTTTATCCAGAAGAAATAAACCTGATGCCAGAGATATTGCATACATAGAAAACGAACTCGGCAAGAAACCTAGAGATAACAAAAAATGATAAACATTAGCAAAACTGAGTCCCACCTCTTAGACTGTAAAACCGAACAGAATCATGAAATACACCACACTTGGGAGTTGGTCACCTTCTATTTATCCTCAAATGTAAGAGAAGATAACAGTAAGAAACCATTCTGAAAAAACTAAAAAAGAGAAGTCAAACCAAAGGATCACTCACTAGTGCTAGCAAAGAAACAGCCACTGGTTAAGCACAGCATAGCAAGTGCATACGAAGCAAGTCGCTTTCCATACTTTCTTGAAAGAGCAACCACGAGAACAGTGTCAACTAAAACAGAGAGAAGACCCAGAAAGAATCTAACAGCATAGAACACTCTCACCTACAGCAGGAAAAGACAATTCACAATAGTAACACGAAAATCCGCAATCTGTAACCAGTAACAATTCAACAAGTAAGCACAACAGGAACCTTACTTTGTCCTCACTAAACAACCAAGAAGCTGGTCGACCCACTATTTCATGAAATAAAAGGTACAAATACGAGCGAAGAGCAAACTGCGAACTGCAACGATGCACACACCACTTGACATTACCATAACCATAAGCCATAGATAAAAACATGAAAAATGTGAGATTTAATAAAAATTGAAAACCTGTATTCCCATGTCTGGAAGCCAGTTTTGTAGAGAAGGAAATGGAGGGGTTCCCAGTAGTTGAAGACCTCGTCGCAATCGTGGATGAGGTTGGAAGTGGCACTCATGTACCTCAGAATTCCAAGGGCCAGGAATGGCAGAAACCACGCCAACCCTTGTTCCTCTTTTCCCTCCGATTTCTTAGGCTTGTCGAGCTTCGTGTACGGTCGCGACGGCGACGGATCAGACGCCTCAGGGCGCCGCTGCCTCACGGCGGAGAGGGCCATAACGATTTCCGAAACGAAACTTTTTTCCAAATTTGAAAGCTCAGAGCATCGCACTTACTTCCTCCCAAAGCAAATTCTTCACTTTTGTATATGCTGTGTCGTTACTTTTTTCTTTTTCCCCCTTTTTTTTTTTCACAAATGTTCTAGGGCTTCGGATTATTCTAGATGGATTAGAAGTTAAGCAAAATTTTAGGATTTAGGATTTAGAGAAGGAAAATCTTATCAAAGATTATTTCTATTAACAATCAAATTAGGAGACAGTCTTTTCCTTTATTAATCCGTAGTTTTGATTTTTTATTTTACAAATATTAAATATAATTAAATTTCACTTTTTTAACTTATAAATAAAAAAATCTCATGAGTCATTTTAGTTGTATTATAGAAATAATATATTAATTTATGATACATTATTTATTACATTGATAGTGTTATTTTTATCTAGTATATTTTTTTAAGTCCTAAGATGCACTAAGGCAGCAAATTGGATAAGATCTTCTAATAAATATATTATATAAAATAGTAAAATTTATAATAAATATAATTTATATAATATTAAATATTAATTTATAAAATATATAGTAGTATATATTATATAATAAAATGTATTTCTTTGTTATTTTAAATTTTTCTTTTAATTAATTTCTATATGTTATTAGTATTTAGATTTTTATACAGCTAATCGATTAAAAAGATTTTTAATAAATATGTTGGATTGCATGTTATTTGAGTTAGTTTAATTTCTAGGACCAAATTATTTGATTATTTTTCTATGTGTGGAGATCATCATTGCGTTGGACACGCCTTCAAGGTGTTAGGCATGACTCGAGTTAGGGATTTTTTGACCTAATCGCATCGGGTATGGGATTGGTAGTACCAAATATGGATCAATGAGGAGCTCTTTAACTTCGTCACCCCAAACATGATAATGAGAGGTGTTTAGTGTGAGTGCTCGAGGAGCTCTTTTGACTTGGTAACGCCAAATGCAAGTGAAAAGGAACCAGGAGTGACCAACACAATGACTCTCTACCTAGATGGTGTTGGGCACATGTTGAGTAGTGTTGAACATGAGTTAAACAGATACTCTCTACATGAACAAGGACAAACATGGGTTTAGCCACGTTAAGTCTTGAAGATCATATGTGGTGTAATGTTTTCTTAGTTGTCATATGATTTTGTATGATTATGATTCATTATGCATTCATTTAGGATAATATATACTGAGGTTTTGAGTTGATAATTGATTGGAGTTGAGTAAGTTGATTGAGTTGTAAAGTTGTATGTGTATAAACTTGATAAATGTTTGGAGTTGTTAAGTTTTTTAGACATGTGTTGTGTGATACATGTCTCGGTTGAAATACATAAAAACTAGAGGAAAGAAGTTTTTGAAAGTTTTCATATCTCATTGTGAAGATATCAGTTGTTGTACTCAAAAAAGCCAAAGTTGAAAACCTTTAGTAAGTAATTGGCTCCTAAATGATTGATGTTGTAAATTGTCTCCTCTAAGTTTTTTGTTAAATTGTATGGGATCAAGTCAAGTCATACGTGTATAAAGTGACTAATTGAGTAAGGTATGAAATTGATGGTTAAAATCCTTAATCAATTACTGAAAATGTACATATTATTTGGAGGGTAGTTAGCGGACTAATCTCATATGATACTTAGTTAATGCATGTTAAAGTCATGATAGGCTTACACTCAAGTTATTTTACCCTAATAATAATATTAGATTTTCCTAGTTTAAGTATCAAAACCTAAGAAATCAATATGGCCTTCATATTAGTTGTTGTTTCTAGTTTTATATTAGCGATTGTTTCTGATCACCATGTCAACTATTGTTTCAAGTTTTATATCAATCATTGTGATTCAGTAGGTCAAGGCATTTAAATTGTTCATCATTATTATAGGAGATTTCCATTAGTTATTATGTGTGATGGCGCATCCATTGTTAATTTGTTGAGCAATTATTGTTGGTTATTTAATAATTGTTTAGTTCTTAGTTATTGCTCTCTTGTGTTTGAAGTTGTTGTAAAGGTGTTAAGATGTGTTTGAAAATTGAAAAGGAAAATTATTAATGAACTGGGTTTCATTCATTTTAATTGTCAATATAATTTATTTATTATTAAAAATTTAAAGTGAAAAAAATTATATTATTTATATAACATTTAATATAATACTATTTTTATTGTCTCCTTATATAAAACACTTATTATTTCATGAATTTTTCTTCTTTTATTTCTTATTTTTCTTGTATCACTCACTGTTTCCTCTTCAATGGTTTATATATTTATATATCTATTTTTAGGTTTAAATATGTTTAAACTACCTCTAATTAGCTCGGTTTTCAGATTACTACTTATTAAATTTTTTTAATTTAAATTACCTGACTAATTTTTTTTTCCAGATTATTTTAAGAGTAAGTTTTGGTAGAAATACACTATGTTAAATTAAAAATTCTTAATGGATAGATCAAATTTATATATAAAATATTTTTATGATTATCCATTAATTTGAATTAATGAAATGAAATATTAAATAGTTTTAAATATTTTTAAAAAAATATAAACTTAGGGGGGTGTATTGGATTAGGATTTTAAAGGACTTTTTTAGTTAAAAAAAATCTTGCGGATTTTAAAAGACTTTGTAGGATTTTCATGACTTTTAAGATTTTGCAGGATTCTACAAGACTTAAAATCAGGATTTTAATGGATTCTGCAAGACTTTTAAATCAGGATTTTAATGGATTCTGTGGTATTTTGTAGAATTTTCGTGGATTTTTTATATTTGATAAGATTTCAAAAAAATTTCATACATTCAAATTTAAAAAGAGTCAAAGACAAAAATAATAAAAAATAATAATGTCAGATAAATAATAATAATAATAATAATTCTCCATAATATCTTATCCTCTTAAATAGCATTCACCCACATATCCATAGCTATACTAGTCCTCCAAACATTAGCGTCTTTTCGCTCTTGTTCCTAGGTTTGAATAATAGGTTCAAAAGTATGATCTTCATTAATTGGTAACGTTGAAGATGAAGTTCATCCACTGCTTCAATTGAAAATTCATCAGAACGACATTCTTTACGTAAAAAATTATGTAGTGCTACACATACTAACACAAGTTCTACTCGTGTCTTAAATAAAAATGGAGGTGCTGACTTAAAAATTGTGAACCTTGATTTAAAAATACCAAATATTTTCTCGATCACATTCCTTAAAGACGCATGACGAAGATTGAACAACTCTTTCTCATTTTCAGGGTCATTACCATGACCTGCAAAATCTTGTAGATGATATCTTACACCTCGAAATGAAGCTAAAAATTAGCGTCGATTAGGAAATCCAAAATTCACCAAAAAAATATTTACCTAATTACATATGCAATATATATAATATTAGTATAATAATAATAATAATATTATTATTATTATTATTATTATTTAAAGAATAAACATTTAGATATATAGAATATATATATATATATAT